TCATGTTATTTTTATTATCCTCTAATACTTTAGAGTAATATAGTTTCTTACATCTCCTCAAAATCTCAGTTAATTTGTTCTTATATGACTTATATTTTTCTTCCGCCTTCTTTGATCTGTCCTTTATGAAATCCTTATATAACTCATTCCTCTTTTTACATGCATTCTGTAATCCCTTACTCATCCACGGTTTCCCACTGTAATTCCTTTTGTTTTTATACTGCTTACGAGGGCAGTTCCTGTCATATACTTCCTTAAATATATTTTAAAATTGTTCATATGCTTTGTCTAAGTCTTCCTCTCTGTAAACTGCTTCCCAGTCCTGCCCCCCTAAGTCCTCCTTAAGCCTCCTTACAGTTTGTTCATTAATCACCCTCCTGTAGAACAAATTTGTTTTTGGCCTCTCTTTTCTAGGGGCAGCTGTGGTTCAGGAGATAGAGCGGGTCATCTCCTAACCAGAAAGTTGGCAGTACAATTCCCAAATTCTCCAGTACAGATATTGAAGTGTCCTTGAGACACCCCCAGCTGCTCCTGATGATATCACTGGTGTGTGAATTAGGGAGTCCAATTGGATGAATGGGCAAGCGTTCCACACATACAGTAGGTCACATAATGACAAGTGAGCCAGCTCCATTAGCTCAAGAAGACTGCATGGCAAGGCTGAAGGCCTAGAAAAGCTAGCTCACATGTAGCAACTTAGAGTCACCAATCAACCTAAGCTGCATATCACTAGGAAGCTGGAGTACCCAGGGAGAGCACACACAGGCACAGGGAGAACATGCAAACTCTGTTTGAACCCACAAACTTCTTGCTGTGAGGTGACAGTAGTAACCACTGCTCCACCATGTTGCTCCACTAAAAGAAAGAGCTTTTTGTCTCATAAAGTACAGTTTAACAGCAGCACAAACTACAAGCTTAAAAATCACCACAGCTGAATCCACGCTAGTTTTAGCAAAAGCTCAACATAATCACCTTCATAAAGGACTTATCAAAAGAATCTGGCTGCAGACAAGATGAGGGATGGAAGCAACATCCAGGTGTTCACACGAGTGCAATAAGTCTCATGATATCAACAGCTAGAAATACTGTAGTATCTCTTTTTTTTTTAAATCTTTGACTCTTTACAACAACAACAAAAAATAACACCAATACAATCATTCATATTCTGGGGACTTGCCTAAACCTACCCCTAACCATAAACCAAGTTGCCATTCTACATTAAATATTTTACATGGTGGTCCCCAGCATCTGGTCCCCATAAGGAAGGCTTAGTCCCCACAGTGTGCAAACAACTTTCACTTTACAGTGTCAGTCATACTACACACACACACACACACACACACACACACAGCACTGCACTGCACTGCCTGCTTCCAAAGAATAAACATCACTCCACTAGTTTAACATTTGGCTTTGTTTTGATTGGTATCTTGTAAAATGAAGCCAAAATGTGTTCACATGATCAACATGATGTATTTCTCTGTAAATGCCCTTTTGCATCTACTTGACCCATTATATTGCTTTCAAAACTGTGGATGAACTAATGCTGACTCCACTTAATGTGTACTTTCAGGGGGAGGCAGCAGCCTGTATGAATGCAAGAATTTTAACTCAAATTCATTATACACAGTGTTCGAGTACCTACATTAGCTTATAACTGACCTATTGGCAGTAAGGCTTGAGCTCTTGTTTCATCCAACTAACTTATCTTACATTTTCTTGGTATTTTGCTTATTTCAAATATCACTCCACTTGCAGTTTTGAAGAAAACAGACACTGTTCACTGTCACTGGTGCTGTCTTCTTCTTATAATTGCAGCAGGCTCTAGTGCTTTGTTGGTCTTTGTTTTACTTTTTACACACACTGCCGAACGAAAACCACAAACTGCTTGTTGTTCAAGCGTATATTATTGGAACCTGATCTGGGATTCAATAATGGCACTCGTCCATTTGAATGAACATTGCGTGCTTGGTGCATTAGCCAAAAATCTTTTCTAGCTTCTGTTTGATTCCATGTTGTGTGACCCACTGCACACGTTCATTTCTGCCCACACACACTCAACACGTAGACTTGACATTGGCAGGTTGTCATAAAGACAAAACTTATTTTTCTAAGCTCTAGGAAAGTTTTACAAATTTAAAACCACAATTGAAAAATTCTTAATAGAGTAGAAACCAATGTTGCTTGCACTCACAGATGGTCTGTGGGGAAAATATGTTTTGAGCCGCATTGGTTTTTTAGATGCAGTACCACAGGTACTGGAACATAATGATAGCAAGGCCAGCACGTTCTCATTCCCAGGGCGTCAATCTTGACATCCATACTGTTTTCACAGTGTAATTTCCTGTATATGCAAGACTATTATGGTTGATGTTTGCCATCTTCCTGTGCCAGGCAGATTTATTGTTAGACTGGACCACAATATCTTAGGGAGGTCTATCTAATACACTGGCAACTCAGTGTCAATATTGTGATTCGAATTTACATATTGTTAGTTATAAAAAATAGAATGATAATATATTATAGAATTTAGATTAATAACCTTTCACCCTCACAATCCTGCTCACCTCCTGCATTATGATTTCTTTCTGTGGTAACTTGGTGAGCAGGCCGCTGGCCTGCACGGCTTCCAGGTTCTGCCACAAGCTCAGTGAGTTAGCTTTGTTCCTCAGCTGCAGCTGTAACACTGGAGGGGACATGACACCAGACTCTCCCTGCCGTAACCTCAGGAGAAAGGTGCTCAAGCTGCCGTCTTTGCTCAATTTCCTGCTGCTTGGAAGTGTCCCGATATTCCTGGTACAGGAAGGCTTGAGGATCAAAAGAAAATGAGTCAGTACATGAGTAGGTACATGTCGGCTACCAAATGTGAAATTACACAAGAAAACGTAATGACACTGTTTGCAGTTTCCTGGTTTTCTGCATAAATTAGTCATGAAATGTGATCTGATCTTCACTAGTCACAAATATCCACAAATACAATATTTCTAAGCTGACAAAATACAAATAGTCATGATCTTTCATGTCATTATTGAACACACCCATACAGTCAAATGTTTACATCCACTTTAGCCAAATACAACTCAGTTTTTCACAACTCCTGACATTTAATCCTATAAACATTCTCTGTCTTTGGTCAGTTAGGATCACTGCTTTATTTTAAGAATGTTAAATGTCAGAATAATAGAGAAAAAAGATTTAGAAGTTCATGGGTCCAAACAGAGTTTGCATGTTTTCCCTGTGCCTGCATGGGTTCTCTCCGGGTACTCCAGCTTCCTCCACAAGGTCCAAAGACATGCAGCTTAGGTTGATTTGTGACTCTAAATTGCCCATAGTAATGAGTGTGAGTGTGTGTGGTTGTCTGTCTACGTGTCAGCCCTGGGACAGACTGGCAACCTGTCCAGGGTGGACCCCGCCTCTCGCCCAGTGTCAGCTGGGATTGGCTTCAGTGCCCCCCGTTCAGGAATAAGTGATATAAATAATGTCCAGGCTGGACTACTGTAACTCTTTACTATCAGGATGTCCCAATAATTCCCTAAAAAGCCTCCAGTTAATCCAAAATGCTGCAGCCAGAGTACTGACAGGAACTAGCAAGAGAGATCATATCACTCCACTCCCATATTAGCTTTTCTCCACTGGCTCTCTGTTAAATCCAGAATAAAATTTAAAATCCTTCTCCTAACATGCAAAGCCCTTGATGTCAAGGCTCCATCGGACCTCATAGTGCCTTGTCATCCCAACAGAGTACTTCGCTCTCAGAGTGCAGGTTTACTTGTGGTTCCTAGAATCCACAGAAGTAGAATGGGAGGCAGAGTCTTTAGCTATCAAGCTCCTCTCCTATGGAACCAGCTTCCCAGTCTCAGTTTGGGAGGTAGACACCCTCTCTACCTTTAAGATTAGACTTAAGACTTTCCTTTTTGATAAAACTTGTAGTTAGGGCTGGCTCAGGTGACCCAAAGCCTTCCGTAGTGTGTCCTCTCTCTCTTTCTCTTTCTGTACCTTTTTGCAGGTAGCCCTGGCTTTGGAGCTCTACATTTCTGATGAGCAGTCACCAGCCACATCAACCTGCCCACCATTTATAGGCAGTATGTCTCACTGTGGACTGATAAATATCTAAAGTCTTTGAGATGACTCTGTAATCCTTTCCAGCAACATGCAAAGCAACAACTCTTGATCATAGGTCTTCTGAGATATCTTTTTTGCAAGGCATGGCTACATCAGCTGATGCTGTTTATGAATAGTACACTGACACTATTTGAGTGTTTTTATAAGTCAAGGTAGTTCTAAACCACACCTCCATTCTCGTTTCATTGATTGGACTCCAGGTTTGCTAACACCTGACTCCAGTTGATGTTTAGTGATATCAGAAGCCTCAAGTTGCCATTACTTTTCCCACTATCACTTTGTATGTTTAATGGTTGTGTTGAGTAAAGACATAAAAGATCAGGACTGTTTGTGTTTTATCATCTTAGAAATATTGTCTTGGTTGATATTTTTGACTTTGGTGAAGATCAGATCACATTTTATGACCAATCCATGCAGAAAATCAGGAAATTGCAAACAGTGCTGTTACTTTTTCTTGTGACTGTATTAGGGACATTTATAGAGAGGTCCTGATGCCTGATGGGCAACCTTCTTTTTCACAGATATTGATATTTCAGCAGCATAGTGCTCCAACCCTTTAATTTTGTCTTTATACTTACTGTCTACCCCAAAAGTTGGAATGTGTTGCTACATCTACTGGTGGTAATCATCTTCCACCTACATTTTAGCAAATAACCCCGTTGTATAGTCATACTGTATGGTGTGAAGGATTGACAGAGCTGGGAGAAAATGAGAGACTTTCTGCTCACAGCAGTCTGACAGACATGGTGTTCACATAGAGGAGCTAATTAGATCAGTTCTCCTTCACAGCTCTGTGATCAGTTGGTTGTGTTATTGTTATAACTGTCATTGTGACTGATCAGAATGTGTTGGCATTTGTGTTACTTAATGTGTCAGTGATAACAGACGTTAATAATTATATCAACATCTTATTGATAAAATATATTACAAACTGTAGGAAATTGCTTCCAGACCAACACAGCAAATATCAGCTGATTTATTGATTGTCTGGAGAAACTGCTAATAGTTATTCACAATAACCTGCAACCGGTCACAATTTTCACCCTAGAAATATCAAGCGAGGGCACTGCTGCAACACACAGTAAAACTGAGTTAGATGAAAGCTAGTTAACATACTAGGTACAGTAACTTGTCTTTATTATCCAGTATCTATGGAGCATGTGGAGGTGTATAAATGTGTACCCACCACTGAGAAATCTGGACTTATCAGGACCAAGACATTTGACTTGTATTTACTATAACCAGCTATAGCAATTTCCTCTCAAGTACAACTGACACATGACTAATATTCTATGAATAGATCACATAATGACAACTGAAAAGCCACTGAAGTCTGAATGATACACAATATGTAATGATTGGAAGGAAGTTGTAAATGTTGCTACAAACCAATACTTCAAATGACGAGACACTCAGATTTTAGCTGTAAAAGCAAAAAAAGAAACCTATTTATGCATTTTAGCACCAGCTCCCCTAGCATTATGTTTCTGCTTTACAGAAAGACTAATAAAAGAAGTCTCTGAGAACATACTGACACATCAAGAGGAATAGAAGCTGAGAAGTGTGTACGACTTCCACTCTGTACCGTGATGCAGTCACTGTAGAGGCTTAAGAACCACATACAATAGATTCTATCTCTCTCACCAAGTTTCAGGTGGGTTGAAAGTTTGCTGATAAGAACAGATTCTCTTTTCTCCCGGTGGCTTGACTAGTGCCATTGTGTGGCAGCCTGTCATCATCGGTGTGTGAATGTTGTGTGTGAATGGTGTATCATCTCCTGTAAAGTGCTTTGGCCAGTGCAACACACTGTGGAAAAATGTGCTATATAAATACAGTCCATTTACCATTTTCAGGGAACACTGGCTATGTGTATATCAAGAGAGAGGGTGACTTTGAAAAACAGGGGCCCTGTTGCATAATCTCCCTCAGTCATATACTGCAGATTGCTTTGGTGGGCGTAGAACTGGGCTGAGAATTATATAAGTGAGAGTGAAATGTGGACACAGCCAGTGAAACACAGGTTAGAGACATTGCAAACTACAGACAATATTGTTGCACTTTTTAAAAAATCTTTCTGCTCTTGTGTTAAGCTTTTGAATTGCTTACAAAAGTCCTGCATGTAAGGCACTGTCTTGAGTAAATTTGGACTAATCCTTGCAAATAACTATTACCCTGTGTACACACTAAACAACACTATGGTAAGCAGTCTGTCAATGTAGCCAGACAATCAGCTTAGAGAGGCAGTCAGCCTTGATGGACAAGTCACAGGCATGCAGTAACAGGTACACGTAATCCTTATGAAGCGTATTGTCAGGTTAATATATAGGTTATTTTTAATCTGTGTTGGCATGTATAGTATGTTGCATATATGAATGTGTGTGTGTCTCACCAGTGCTCAGTCTTAATCATACAATATATTCACCAATAAGAGACGGTTTTGTAGTAACACCTCTGGACGTGGTAAAAATGGGTGGAATATACTTTATACACTACCCTCAACCCCTGACAAGCCCTTTCTCACCAATGTTTTTGATGATGTTGAGGCTGTGGCAGATTGGCTGTACACTTTTTCCATTGCTCAGCAACCTGGAAAGAAAGAAAAAAGGAAGTCCATGTTTGGACAGGCAGAAAGGTGGATGAATATACTCACTTAATGCCCTTTTAATTATTACAAAATATGTAGCTTTTGCTGAATACAAGCACACAGATACACAGTGATGAATTCTCTGATATATAAAGCATCCATCTTTGCCTCTTCACAGTCAGTTGCAATCTCTCGATCACATATTTTATCATAATTCATAGTGTCTTTGTCATTGTGCTGCTCATCAAGCAGAAGTACTAGAACCTTTACTCATATTTGTTTGTTTTTTGTTTACATAGTTACTATTTATTATTATTAGAAACCCACTGTTTAAGCTTTAGAAGTGTAATTTGGTCTGACCTGAGGTTGACATTATCCCGGTCTGCTCCGTCAGAACTGGACAGTGAGCTCATGGTGATCCCTCTGACCTCCTGTACAGTGCAGGCTGTGGCTGTTTTCTCAGACAGCTGTTTTAGGTCTTCGCTATGAATGCCGTGAGTCCGGTAGGTGATCATATCAGCTGTACAATTTCTATGCTGGTTGTTGGAGGCAGCGGATATGTCCACACTCCCTCCTCCCACTCCTTCTCTTCGCTTATCCACAGCATCTCTGCTGCACAGAGCATGTCTGCTGCTGGCCTCACCATTGCTTGGCAACACAGTTCTGGAATGATGGAGCAGTGGTGAAGGCTGAGGGCTACATTTAATAGCAAAAACATGCTTTAGAATCACACAAATATCAACAAATTTCATTTTCACTCTGCTGAATTTTTCAAATATTTGAAAGGCATATCCACTCAGCATAGTAAAGATATGTAGAGCTGCCTGCGTACGTTTGTCAAGAGATTTTAACAGTTGCATGTTTATTTGTTTAAGGTTGGATTCATTTTATGCTTTTGATCAGCAACATCCTTCATTAAATATGCCATGTCTGTATTCACTGGCTGGATTCCCACAAGTCTGCACCTCCAGTTCAGATATGTCCCGAAGGCACTAATTTT